AGATACTGCAATTTACGCCATTTTTTTGCTATACAGCGCTGCGCTAGTTTAACGGACAATTGTGCGGTCATGCAATATGGTACATAAATGAAATTTATGTCCTTTTTTTCACACAAATAGAGCTTTCTTTGGGTGGTATTTGATCACCTGTGCACTTTTCATTTTTGCCGCTATAAACAAAAACATTTTTGAAGAAAGAATTTTTTTTGATGCCAAAAAAACTGTATTCTGTATTCTGCTACATGTTTTTGGTTAAAAAATCCCAGTAAGTGTATATTTATTGCTTTGTGTGAAAGTTATAGCGTCTACAAACTATGGTATAGATAATGGAATTTACACAGCTTTTACTTTCTGACTGCCCATCACATTTCTTGAGGTGCTAAAATACCAGGGTAGTGCAAACACCCTCAAATGACCCCTTTTTGGAAAGTAGACACCCTAAGCTATCTGCTAAGAGGCATATTGAGTCTATGGAAGATTTATTTTTTTCCACAAGTTTCTGAAAAATGACCAAAAAATTTTTTTTTTTACACAAAGTTGTCATTTAAATTATTTATTTCTTGCAGAAACCATGGTTATATGTAAACACTGTATAATAATATGTGGAATTACACCCCAAAATACATTCTGCTACTTCTACTGAGTATGGGGATACCACATGTGTGAGACTTTTTGGGAGCCTAGCCACATACAGGAGCCTGAAATCCAATGACCACTTTGAAAGCCTGAAGGTGCGTAACTTCCTCATTTCACTTCCTCACTACCTATCACAGTTTCGAAGGCCCAGACATGCCAGGATAGCACCAAACCCCCCCCCCCCCAAATGACCCCTTTCTGGAAAGTAGACACCCCAAGGAATTTAAAAAGAGGCATGGTGAGTATTTTGCAGATTTCCCCAAGGAATTTAAAAAGAGGCATGGTGAGTATTTTGCAGATTTCATTTTTTCTCACAAGGTTTTGAAATATAAAAAAAGAATAGAAAACATTTTTTTGTTTTCTTTCTTCATTCTCCAAAAACTTGTGGCAACAAATGAGATCTGCAAAATACTTACCATGCTTCTTATCAAATTCCTTGGGGTGTCTACTTTCCAAAAAGGGGTCGTTTTGGGGGGGTGGGGGCGTTTTATGCCCAGCATTAGAAGTTTATGCCACACATCACTCACTCTTCTAACCACCTGAAGATCAAGCCTTTTCTGACACTTTTTGTTCACATAAAAAAAAACAGGAAATTATTTTAAACCCCCAAACATTATATATTTTTTAAAAGCAGACTCCCTAGTGAATAAAATGGTGGGTACTACCATTTGTTATGGCACATAGTATTCGCGCAGCGATTTTTTCAAAAGCAAATTTGTTTTAAAAAATACACTTTTTTTATTTTTAATGCACAAAAACACAATATATTGGCCACTTATTTGGTAAAATATAAAAGATGATGGTATGCCAAGTAAATAGATGCAAAACATGACATGCTTTAAAACTGCACGTGCCCAGTGCAATGGTGACAAACTGCATACATTTTAATATCCATAGGCAGCGTTTTAAAAGCCTTTAAAAGCTACCATTTTAATTTACAGAGGAGGTCTAGTGTTAGAATTACTGCCCTTGATCTGACGTTCATGGTGATACCTCTCATGTCTGTTTATATACCGGCACAGGGTCAATGCTTGTGCACACAGGTGTGCGGGCATGGGAGGGGTGAGTTTTTTTTTTTTAAGTTATTTTGATTTTTTAAAATTATTTTTACACTGTACCTTTAATTTTTTTTCCTTTAGCACTTTTAATGCTATTACAGGGAATGCAAATATCCCCTATAACATCAGTGGGCATTGTCATATATTCTTTTTTCAGAAATCTGGGGTCTATCAGACTCTAGATATCTCCTCTTCCCTTACATTATCTAATCAAACCAAAATCGGTGATCAGATGCTGCGAAACTGAAGTGATGAAATGCTTGTAGCTTCTGATTTATTAGGCTATAGAGATGATTGGCACCACTCTGGTCTCAAATCAGCTCTATGGTCAGCTGGCAAAAACACCGGCTGCATTCTCAGGTTCCCCCGATGGCACGGGACTGCCCGAGAAAGCCGTGGAAGGCAGCAGGGGAGGGGCGGGCATCATCTCCCGCTGCTTGTAAAAGCAGTCCTGCAACTAATTAGCCACTAGGATTGCTTTTATATGAAAGCCGATCGCCGGCTGAAAAAAATGATACCAGGATGATGCCTGCAGCTGTAGGCATCATCCTGGTATAACCATTCAAATCCCAGTGATGTACCAGTAAGTCGCTGATCCTTGTTGGTTATATATGCTATGTTCTTTTTTTTTTTTTGTATGCAGCCTGTGGACTGAATGAAAAAAAGAGAAGAAATCTCTGCCAGAAAAAGTGTGTGGTATGCCCACCATTAGAATATACCGCCCTGCATCCACCCACTTCTAATGGTGGGCACACATTAGGTCACACTTTGCCACAAGCGCCAGTTCCAAGATTGTACAAATGTTTAAATAGTGGCACGCTTGAATAAAAATTGTCCACGTATAAGTGGTACCCCATATGGTAAAAGGATGACACCAAGTCCCAAACTATCTTGCCACTACTCCCCATGTAGTCTGGGCATCCGGTGGGCTCCATGTGACTATCTTTTCCCTCGTAAATCCGAAACTTATAAGTATAGCCTGTTGTCCTCTCACAAGTCTTCGGCATCTTGACCCCATATCTGGCACGCTTGCTGGGGAGAAATTGTTTGAATGCAAGGCGGCCAGAAAAATTAATCAGGGACTCATCAACGCAGATTTTTTACTGAAGTGTATAGACATCTGCAAATTTTTGGTTAAGGTGATTTGCGAGGAGCTGAATTTCGTGGAGCAAATCAAATTCAGGGTCACCCCAAGGATGACAGAGTGTATTGTCGTTGAAATGCATAAAACACATTATACTCTCATATCTATGCCTGGCCATGGCAGCAGGGAACATGGCATATGATGAATCGGGTCTGTGGACCATTACAACCGCAATAATTTTTTTTAGTAATGCCCATGTTGAGGGTTAGGCCCAAAAAAAATGTAAATTCGGAAACCGTAATGAATTTCCATGCGACTGGTCTGGCAAGGTTTTAATTTGGGTTGGCAGCGATAAATTGTTGTGCATATACATTGCTTTGATCCACAATCAACGCATACAGATATTCCGTGAAAAACAGCTCCAAAAATCAAGGGGAGTAGTTAGATTTGCTATTTCCACCTGAATTCCCGGTTGGGCAGTGAATGGTGGAAGTACAGGTGCTGCAGAATTTGTGGGCTGTCAATCGGGATTTGCAAGCACATCCGGAAGGATACTAGGAGCTCTATGGGCCTGTGTGCAATACTTGTGCTCGCCACCACACCGGCTTGTACTGGACTTATGGGACTCGCCACATCACCAAGTCATACTGCAGTGCTGGTATTATTATTATACAGGAGTTATATGGCGCCTACAGTTTGCTCAGCGCTTTACAGTATAACGGAAGACAATACAGCAACAATACAGTTCAATACAAGAGGGTTAGGAGAGCCTTGATCCTGGGAGCTTACAATCTAAGAGATAAGTGAATGACCAAGATGTACTAGACCACTGGTGCTTGCCAGTTCACCAAAAGGTAGCGCGGCACTAGTACTGGCACTGCATATGAGAGTCCTCAAAATTTACCGACTAGTGCTAACAGAGATCAGGCCTGATTCTGTGAACACTGTGGTTTTGTGCAATGTATCAAGTGACAGTGACCTACTGACACTGCACTTGCTGGGGGAGAAGGAGGGGAGTAAGCGTAGGGGCTAAACGCAGGTGCTGGCAGGTGCCGGGGCTGGTCCCGCTAATGCTGCATTTTTGGGGATGCTATACTAATGTGAACGCTAGTATAGTGCTGATCTGATCAAAGATATTGATCCGTTCAGACACTATACTAGCAATGGAGGTTTATTGTGCATGAGTGTGTTCCTGGCAGTCAAGGGGTTAAATGTGATGACTGGTGTACTGACGGGCAATCTGATGCCATCTTCGAGGTGCATGAAAACTACGAGAGCACAAATCATGTATATATATATGATTTTGCGCACCCATGCCGCCCTGTAGCAGTATTTTTGCTATAGGGCGGTCAGGAAGTGGATACAGAAGCGGTTTGTGTTACGGCACTGCGTTACTTTAACTGACAATTGCGCGGTCATGCAACACTGCACCCAAATTAAATTTATTGTAAATAACACTCTGACTGTAATCCCCCCTATGAAAAGTTAAACTTTCACCCTTGAAAGTGCAAAATATATATATAAAACTTTTTCTACAAAACCTATATACCAGTGATGGCGAACCCGTGGCACGCGTGCCACAGCCGGCACGCCGAGCCTTATCTGTGGGCACGCCAGGAGAATACCGTATTTTTCGCTCCATAAGACGCACTTTTTTTCCCCCAAAAAAGGGGGGAAAATGTCAGTGCGTCTTATGGAGTGAATATAGAGCGGCCGGTCCGGTATTTCCACCGCCGCCGTGTCAGAATACCGGGCCGGCCGCTCAGCTCTGCAGTGGGACCGTACCTGTCCCTCTATCCAGCGGCGCGCTGTCTTCCCGGCTTCTGTAGTGTGCGTGACAGCCGGGTCCCAAGTGCGCATGCACAAGAAGCAGTGCTCTTTGTGAATGGTAAGGCGGTACCTGGGACACATGACAGATCCCAGAAGCCGCCGGACCAATCACAAAGCGCAGCGCTTCTCCCGCATGCGCACTGGGCATCCGGCTGTCCGACGAGCGCCCACACTACAGAAGCCGGGAAGACAGCGCGCGGCTGGATAAAGGAACAGGTAAGATAAAAAAAAACTCTGCGGAAGTAAGAGCGGGTACCTGTCAAATTCAGGTACCCGCTCTCCCTCCCTCCCCAAAGGTCAGCAGTCATCTGTACTGTCCGCAGTCTCTGGTCATCCCTGTGCTTTCCGCAGTCTCTGGTCATCTCCTGTACTGTCCGCAGTCTCTGGTCATCCCTGTACTGTCCGCAGTCTCTGGTCATCCCTGTACTGTGTCCACAGTCTCTGGTCATCCCTGTACTGTTTCCGCAGTCTCTGGTCATCCCCTGTACTGTCCGCAGTCTCTGGTCATCTCCTGTACTGTGTCCGCAGTCTCTGGTCATCTCCTGTACTGTGTCCGCAGTCTCTGGTCATCTCCTGTACTGTGTCCGCAGTCTCTGGTCATCTCCTGTACTGTGTCCGCAGTCTCTGGTCATCCCTGTACTGTGTCCGCAGTCTCTGGTCATCCCTGTACTGTGTCCGCAGTCTCTGGTCATCCCTGTACTGTGTCCGCAGTCTCTGGTCATCCCTGTACTGTGTCTGCAGTCTCTGGTCATCCCTGTACTGTGTCTGCAGTCTCTGCTCATGCCCTGTACTATGTCTGCAGTCTCTGGTCATCCCCTGTACCGTGTCTGCAGTCTCTGGTCATCCCTGTACCGTGTCTGCAGTCTCTGGTCATCTCCTGTAGTATGTCCGCAGTCTCTGGTCATCCCTGTACTGTGTCCGCAGTCTCTGGTCATCCCTGTACTGTGTCCGCAGTCTCTGGTCATCCCTGTACTGTGTCCGCAGTCTCTGGTCATCCCTGTACTGTCTGCAGTCTCTGGTCATCCCTGTACTGTTAATTAGTTTGCACTACTGTACGAGTTGTTTTTTCTAAACCAAAAGCTCGATATTCAGGTTTCATTGCAGTGTTGGCACTTTGAAAGAAATAAGTTGGTTTTGGGTTGCAGTTTGGGCACTCGGGCTCAAAAAGGTTCGCCATCACTGCTATATACAATATAAATCTTCCTGTAAATAACCCAAATAAGTCCAAAATGTCCACAACAAATATAGTCCAAAGTTTCCACAACTACTGTTTTTTAATCTTCCAAATCGTGAGAAAATCCCGGATACCTCAAAAAAATTAGAAAAAGTGCATTACCCTTATTCAAAAACACACATACTGAGTACATGCACACCACTCGTGAAAGAAAAAAAAAAAAAAAAAAAAAACAAAAATAAAAAATAAAAAACTTAAATTTATGTGTATATGCACTTATATAAAGTGAATAAAAATACACAGCACTCTGTGACACTAAATAAACATACTAAATGCTCCAATTTGTAAATAAACAATCTGTGACTCTTCACTTGTGAAAACAAATCCACAGCAATTACGCAATCCGTGATAATGTGCTCAATTAAGTGGTTCCACACTTTAGTAGGATTTCATACAATTACCCTCTCTCTGTTAAAACTAGTAATACAAGCACAAGCGGATGTAACCACTTCAATCTCCCCCGCTCCTCATAAGGCAGAAAGGACAAATTCAGTGGAGTATATAAGGGTAAGACATATATTTTATGGTTACATCCGCAGGGAGGAAGTAGTGACTACCCTGGAGTGCTTGTATTGCTAGTTTTAACAGAGAGAGGGTAATTGTATGAAATCCTACTAAAGTGTGGAACCACTTAATTGAGCACATTATCACGGATTGTGTAATTGCTGTGGATTTGTTTTCACGAGTGAAGAGTCACAGATTGTTTATTTACATATTGGAGCATTTAGTATGTTTATTTAGTGTCACAGAGTGCTGTGTATTTTGATTCACTTTATATAAGTGCATATACACATAAATTTAAAAGTTTTTTTTTTTTTTTTTCACGAGTGGTGTGCATGTACTCAATATGTGTGTTTTTGAATAAGGGTAATGCACAATATGCAGTTTTTCAAATTTTTTTGAGGTATCCAGGATTTTCTCATGATTTGGAAGATTGAAAAACAGTAGTTGTGGAAACTTTGGACTATATTTGTTGTGGACATTTTGGACTTATTTGGGTTATTTACAGGAAGATTTATATTGTATATAGGTTTTGTAGAAAAGGTTTTATATACAAATTAAATTTATGTCCTTTTTTTCCCACGAATTGAGCTTTCTTTCAGTGGTATTTGATTGCCTGTGAGTTTTTATTTTTTGCGCTATAAAAAAAAGGCTGACAATTTTGAGAAAAAAAAACAATATTTTGAATTTTTTTTGCTATAAAACATGACCAGTAAAAAAATGTTAAAATCAAATTTTTTGTTATAAATTTCGTCCAAAATGTATTCTGCGACAAGTCTTTGCTAAAAAAAAATCCCAATACGTGTAAATTAATTGGTTTACATGAAAGTTATAGCGTCTGCAAATGGTTGGAAAGTTACTGGGATTTTTTTTTTAATAATAATGGCGGTGATCAGCGACTTATGGTGGTGATCAGCGATTTATGACAGTGATCAGTGACTTATGGCGGGACTGCGGCATACATTTTGACACTGGGGGAAACTGACTTGGGGTCACTGACATCGCCAGTGACACCAATACAGTGATCAGTGAAAAAAAAAAAACACTGACACTGTATTAATGGCACTGGGGAGGAAGGGGTTAACATTTTTATTCGATAAAAGGGTTAACTGTGTGAGCGGAGTGTTTTACTAGTGGGCGGGGGGTGTGTGCTTCACAGGAACACACTGATCCCGAGAGCTAAACTCTGCTCTCAGGATCAGTGTGTTAGTAACTGACAGGGAGCAGAGCTACAGTGTAAACACTGCAGCAGTGCTCCCTGTCAGTGATTGCTGGTAATCGCCGGGACCCGGTGATTGACAGCCGTGGCCACGATCGGCGGCGCGGGTAGGGCGGGCGCGCCTCGCGCGCGCCCCCTACCTGTTTTGCAAAATAACGTTTTAAAACGTGATTTTGCGCAGGGGTGCCGCCCTGTGGCCGTTTTAATACAATGGCTGGATAACAACCAGTTAAAACTAAAACTAGACATACAAACAAGGTTTTTATTATACTAATACACACTCATAACAATAGCAAGAAGCAACATAACATTAGCAGAGTGGAATGTACTCACAAGCCAGGAGACTGCAAGCAATATTATAGATAAAATGATGTATGTTTAGTATGGCCCTGGCACTTCTTTTTCTAGTGGCAAGAGGAAAGTAAATAAATTCCTGTTCTAAGAGGGAAATGTTTTGCAATAGTTGTGGAGATCTTTGGTGCTGCCTATTGTGGACATTTGCTTGCTAAGCAGGATTATGATCTACTGAATGAACGGCAGTTTGCCTTGCTTAAGAACAGGGTATATGGAAGACAGCAGCACACCAATGGTGGTCTGCTATGTGAGATTACAATAGCGGTAGAATGGACATTTTGTCCAGGGCCTTAGACAATGGGGGGACCTGGAGATGCTAATAAAATGTCTGCCTTCAGTGATGCTTATAGTAAGTCCGGTTCCGCTTTCCAAATCCTTAGACTTTTTTTTACTGAAGGCAGTCGGCAATCTTTCTATTCTTTTCAGTGCAGGTTACCTTTATGATAATCAAATGATCATAAACAATACATATGCACATTCTCTGTCCATTGTTTTCATATTATCTGCAGTTGTTGCATATATAATTTGCATACTTCTACATTGGATCCAATTCAAAATTGAAAGCCTAGCTTCCACTTGAAGGTGAGTAATGCAAAGAAAGCTGATATGTTTATTTTTTACTACTGCTGGGAAATTCTTTTTTTTTTTACAACCTAAAATGAATCCACCACAGTTTTTTGAGTATGCTATTTCACAACAAAGTTATTGTACTTCTACTTGCTTCAGTTAGATTAAGATACTTTACTATGAACTTGCCATGGGTGGATTGTACTTTCACAGGAAGACTTCAGACTTTCTTTTAGTGTAGAGATTATTTTGATAGTGTGTAGTTTCTAATTCTGCTCGATACCATTGACAAAGATGTTTATTGATTTTTACATCTATTAGCTACAGTATCTATATCTTAGCACAGTGTTACAATTAAAATTTTACATTGATAACAATTTTTGTATTTGTTGAATTCTTTTACATGTATACTTGATTACTCATCTCACACACCTGTAAACCTTATAAACCAGAGCAATTTTTACATTTTCACTATACACTTATTAAGTGCAATTGTAATCTTTAAGAATAAAGAATAAGTTCACCTTAAAAAAATAATACATGTAAATTTTTTTGCAGGTAAAGAAAAATATGCATTTATTATATTTTTATTAGAAGCCTGTAAAGCACTGCACCTGAAAACAGCGGATTGCGGGTGCAATGCCAGGCTCCTGCAGACTTTCAGTATAGCTGTCTGCTCTACCTCATACAGGGGGAGGGAGTTACTGAATGACAGGAAGAATCAATGAAATACTAGAGCCCTCAATAGCTGCCTGGTAATTCATTGAAAACTACAACCTGTCGCCTCAATGGATAACAGTCATTGTAGTTCTTTCATTCACAGAACTCTGTGAATGAATGATGTGGCTGGGTAGGCAGAGCCCCACATTGCCATGGTTGTTTAAAAATTGTGACAGCAGGTGCGGGGAGAAGATGTCTAGTCTGCTGTCACAACCAGTTGAGGGGGGATGCAGGGGCTGCCTATTTAGTAACATGTTACACCCTGGATACGGGTGTAACATGTAACATGTTATGAAAGGTGAACTTATTCTTTAAAATTGTTACAATGTATTTATCAAGTTGACAGCTATTGGAGGGGATTTTCTCAGCCCAAGGAAGGAAGAATAGGGCATGCAAGGCATTTCCACAGTATTTTCATCATATTTTTAGAGCATCCCTCATGTGGGTTATGAGATAATATTACTATGGTTCCCTTTAATAGCAGCTATGTGGTTTAAATAATTGCAAAAGTACAAACATTTTTACTTATATATATATATATATGTAGAGTATGTATGTTAAAGTCCATCGTCTGGCTTTCTTTCCCCTCCCACATCTCCCTCTTTCTATCCTGCTCTAACCAAATTCTAGCATAAAAAATAAATCTAATTGCCAATTTTACTTGCATACTGTACATTCACAGTTACTTGACATTTGGGCCCTGAGTCTTCTGTTTTCTTTCCTGTACAGGAGTTGGGTCCTTTGGGTTTTTATGTCACTGCCAGCATGACTTGGACACTTCTTACTGCTTTTCCAGTGCAGAGGTCGCATCAGAATCCATCCAGAAGAGAGCCTGCAGGTGATGACATTAGTTCAAGGAAACTGTTGGGAATTGGCTGCTGTGGGCATATCTGCAGCAGTGGATTACATTGCTCTGTACCCAGAACAGTGTAAGCAGAGGATCCAAATGACAAACAAGTGAGTAGAACACTGCTTCAATGCATATTTAATGTGATTTTAAATGCTATTTTTTTTAATATAACAAACATGTCATACTTACCTGCTCTGCAGCCGGTGTTTTTGACCCCTCCCTTCTGCTAAGTGCCCCCACAGAAAGCAACTTGCTATGGGGGCACCTGTGTAGGCTTGCTCCTGAGCCGCTGCTCTGTGTGTCCATTAACACACAGATTTGGCTTGGCCCTGTCCCCACTCTCTCCTCATTGGCTCACTGGCTGTGATTGACAGTAGCTGGAGTCAATGACTCCTGCCACTATCTCAGCCAATGAGGACAGAGAGATTTGGGACAGCCAAGGCTCTTGTGCACATCCCTGTATCGGAATCGGGCTCAGATAGGTATTGGGGAGGGGAGGCAGGGTGGAATGTTGCACAGAGAAGGCATTTTACCTTCATGCATAGAATGCATGAAGGTAATAAACCTTGAGCCTTTACAACC